GATTGTAGATTTAGTTGAATTTCTTGTGAAAGGAAAGGGGAGGAAGATAAAGATTTCAGTAGTAGAAAAGAAAAGAGAGGGAGAAAAGAGTAGGAAGTCAACCAGGATTGTTGAATAATACCTAGCCGCCAACCCCTCATTATATTTATACTTAACTTAAAAGATGAGATATTACAAGGATGCCCTTAGTAGGGAGGCTACTAATGTGGCTGAACAGTCACAACATAGAAACATAAACTAATGGGCCTAAAGCCCAACAACTTCCTAACTAAATAGCTTCAAATAAGAATAAAAAACAACTAGGCCCAACTCAACAATTTACTTATTTTTCTGGTCTTACATGCAACAACTCTCCATTGAAAAAAAAATGCAGAGTTTTATTTATTACTCATGTGCATTTCTACACAATCTATACATGTAAGAGTTGTCATGCTATCATACACATGGTAAACCGTGGCAGTACACTCAAACCGATTCATGAGATCATTTTATCTTTTATTAAATATATTATGTATGAAATTAATTGTTTCTGATTATGTCTTTACAACTGAGAATTGGAGATCTAAGCATTATAGGATATAGCTCCATAGCATTGAATGGCACTTCAATCTAATTGTTGGGTCTAGTGTATTTAAAAGATGAGTCATTTTTTCTAAGGATAGTGATTTGGGCCCATGCTATCTTTGACAAGGTGGCATATTCATTATGAACGGGAAAGCACATGAGTAATTCTGATTTTCTCAATCATTAATAAAATTCATTGTTATTGATAAAAAAAAAAAGGAAAGCACATGAGTAATGCTAGAAAAATTGTGTGTACTTTCTTATCATTATGAATAGCCTGTTCATTCTGAGCAGGAATACAAACAAATTTTATTTACTTTTTATCATTATGAATAGTGGAATTCCTTGTCTTCCGACAAGATCTGTTCCCGGTTCATAAAAATTGGAACTTGACCAAATGAGGACCCTTTTCTATTGGTTTAAAGATTAGTAGTACCTTTCATGGATATACTTTAGGTAAAGTTTATATTGGCTAGAAATATCTAAATTTGAAGGAAAATGTAGAACAGGAAAGTTGAGAAAAGAACCCATTTATAAAGAAGACATGTTAATCCCTTGAAGTTTAACATTTTGCTCTATACTCTCTAATTTATAATTTTGTCTTCTAAAGCCCTAGTGTTTGGGGTTACCGAGTGTACCATACTGTGTTTCCAAGGTTTTTCAATAACAAATGATGTTGGGTTTTCTGTGTAGAGAACTAGTCTTGGGATTTAGTGGAGTTGGGTTGAAAGTACCTTGTAATGGAGGCATAAAACTTTTCGCTATATTGTAATTTGTGTCCTCATTTGAAGATGTCTTAATGTTAGATTTCCTTTGGGTGTATTCCCTTGTGGCAATATATGCTATTTGCATCTTCTCACTCCATTGTTTTTCTTAATTATTTGCACACATTTTTTGGGTCTTTCCGTTGGGCCATCTGTCTCAACTTATTTGTAGTTAGAATATGTTTTGTTTCTTATGCTAAAATATCTCTTATATTTGTGATTTAATAAGGGGTGCCTTACATTAGTGGGAATTTTTCACCACTGGACAGATATCAGATGGGACATATTACAATGCAAGGGATGCCTGATTTGAAGATGTCAATGTTAGATTTCTTTTGGGGTTATTCCCTTGTGGAAATATATGCTGTTTGCATCTTCTTGCTCCATTGTTTTTCTTAATTATTTGCACACATTTTTTGGGTCTTTTCCTTGGGCTGTCTGTCTCAACTTATTTGTAGTTAGAATATGTATGGTTTCTTATGCTAAAATATTTCTTATATTTGTGATTCAATAAGGGATGGCTTACATTAGTGGGAATTTTTCACCACTGGACAGATACCAGATGGGACATATTACAATGCAAGGGGGTTACGGGCATTACCTAGATTTCCATCTGGTGTAAAAAAAGTGAAGTTCCCCTTATGTGAGCGCCCTTCATTAAATCATTTTCTTACATATCAGTTCTAGTTTTTAATTATACCTATTTTTTTTTTCTAGGAAAAGGATACTGATCTACGAATCAAGCAGCTTGAATCAGATATCACTTACTTTATCACAAAGCAAGATTCTGAACTAGCATTAGGAGTAATTAGTGCTGCATATCATGGGGATTTGAATCATTTAAAAGGCTTGATCAATGCTGGAGCAGATCCTTGCAAAACAGACTATGATGGGAGAAGTGCATTGGTATTTTACTTCTTCAAACTTGAGATGTCATTCTATTGGTATCTAGCTTCCTTCATTTATCTGAAATGTAATAGCAAAACCAGAAAACCAAAATTCCATTTACACAGTGATGTATTTCTTTTTCAATGGGAGAAGATGATGCTTGCTCAAACCACTAACATGATGCTTCATATACTGGTATACCATATTTGTAGCCTGATAACTAATCAACAAAACATTCAAATGTGCAACCTCCATGTTGCATGGGCAAGGACATGAGAGTCAGAATCAGACATGTTCAAGAGTCTGATTTGGCAAGTTGAGAAAGCATGGACTTGCAGACACATATATGGAAAAGTATATACTACGAATATCATTCATATTTTTGAATTCTAATATTTGTGCCTGCAGAAAGGGGTCTAATATATTACCTTTCTTACCAAGTGTTGTCAGTTGTTTATGTATTCAGGTTTAGTACCATAAGGGTACTGTTGTAATTTCTCCTCTGTTTATATTGTTCGACTCTACTAAATATAAATAATAAAATCATTCTTTCGCCCCCTATGTTCTGGAGGGCTTTCAGTCACTCGACTCACCTCTCTTCTCTCTTCTCCTCTCCTCTCTTCACTTGCTCTTGCTCAACATGGTATCAGAGCAAGTCGTCCAGGCCTGAAGGGTGGTGTCAAGCT